CGTGTGTCCCGAACTCTGGCGAAAACGTTTCCCGCGCTCGACCACACGTGACGAAGTTCCTGGCCGGATGGCAAAAGGTTTGACGGCTGTGCTGAAAACCACCTCTTCCAGCCGGTTTTCTGTTTCCTGATCATCTACGGCACGTCATCGCCTTTGACGAACGTTCAATCGCTCTGGAGAAAGTGCAGACTTTTCTCCTTGACGTCCACACGGTACTCGATGGCATCGTTACTGAAAACATTACTGCGCGCTGACCGCCAGCCAGCGGGAGCTTTTCAGCAGATCTAAGATTTTAATGACCGTTTTCCACCAATGAAGACATGCGAACGGCAGGCAAGTGTGTGAACACACACTCGACGACCATCATTACTGGAGAAATGCAAATAAAAGCCACGATTAGATACTCGTGCATACCAGAAGGGCTACTGTTTCTAAAATCTGACACTATTAGGCGCTAGGAAGAATCTGGAACACTTGGAAGTCTCAGAGATTGTGGGGGAGGGTGGAAAACAGCACACGCACTGCGGACAACAGTTTGGCAGCGTCTTACAAAGTTAAACATGACACAGACTCGCCATCTCATCCAGCAGGCCCGCTCCTAGGCGTTTACTCGAGATAAATAAAAACATATATCCACCCGAATTCCTATCCGCAAATGTTTAACAAAGTGTTGATAAAACACTTTCCGCTTCAGCGATAAAAACATAAACTACTGGTACATGCGACGACGTGGCCGGGCGTCGAAAGCATCACGCTGAGCGAAAGAAGTCGGAATCGAAAAGCGACAGAGCGCATCGTTCCACTTATGGAAAATTCTAGAAAAGGCGAGCCGCGGAGACGGGGCGCAGGCCGGGGCTGCGGGAGGCTGGCGCACGGAGAGAAGTGTGCGGACAGGGATCCGGGTGGCTGACCGCTCCTCTCACGACCGTGATGGCGCTGATTCCGCCTGTGCCGCCACCGAAACCCATCCCTGGGCGCGTTCGGCTAGCGGACGGCGCCGTGTAAGGGGCATGTTTAGGAGTTATAGGACCGGAGGTGGCCGGAGGCTGGGGTAGGGAGAAGAGACTGCCCAGGGACACGAGGGGACCTCCGCGTTGGTGGCTGTGGTCTGGACCTTGATGGGGTTGGTTACGTGGCTGCACACACGTATCCAAAAAGACCGAAGTCTCTGCATCAAAAAGATGAGGTCTGCAGTATATAAAGCTCAATAAAACGTACTTTTAAAATAAAAAAATGAAAAAATAAATAAATAAACAAGCAAATACCGGAACACGGCGGGGCAGTATATGAAGGGTCCTTCAAGTCAAAGCTTGTGACCCCCCAAGTCTTATAGGCAGCCATTAGACCGAAAGCCTGGAAAGAGGTCTTCAGAATCGGAAGGACTCAGAAAATACCTACCCAGGTACGTTTCCTGAACGAAATACCTGGGGTTTGGTGCCAGAACAGAGGGATGTATTTCAATGCCAGGCACGGCGACTAAGGATGTAATTGTTCTATGTGGCGGTGTACGCGAGGTGACAAACAGGCTCCGCGGCCATAAATCCCCTCCGTGCAGTAGAAACAGGAACCTTCCTCCCCCTCCCCCTCTTCGTCACTCTGAAAGAAAATGTCTCCAGGACAGGGGAGGCCGGAGGGGGAGGGTTTGTGTCCACGATGACGGATAACCCAGCGGGGACGCACGAGGACATGGTGACGCCGAATACCGCCCCCCACGCAGGGCGACAAACCCACGCGCGTCTTTCCTGCCATGTCACCTGTGGGCTTAAAAGGTTTGACGTCAAAATTGTTAAAAAGCTAAGAAATGTCACACGATATCCTTTAAAAACCCTTTGGAATACGCGTTATTTTTATTTACTCTTTTACTTTGAATGTTTACTTTATCACAGAGGTACCTGGGGTTTGAAGCATTCAGCGCAGAAAGTCGAGAACTCTGTATTGGACTAATTGATTATTTTTTTTAACTGACCGACGACGCCCCGACAGCAGCCCGGGTTACTGCGCTCGACGCTGCGGGCATGTGGCCCCCCGACTCTGAGAACGACAGCGGGGTCCCTGCCCCACGCCCGGCTTCCAGCTGTTTCTCGTTTAGCTATTAACCTCCGTATCTGCAGATGAACCCACCTGTTTTGTTACTTCTTGATTTTTTTTTTCAGTTTCAGATACTGTTTGCTGACTTCCTAATACGAAAGACAGGACGACGACCTCCCCGGCGTGCACACACGTGCACACGCGCACAGGACGACGACCTCCCCGGCGTGCACACACGTGCACACGCGCACAGGACGACGACCTCCCCGGCGTGCACACACGTGCACACGCGCACAGGACGACGACCTCCCCGGCGTGCACACACGTGCACACGCGCACAGGACGACGACCTCCCCGGCGTGCACACACGTGCACACGCGCACAGGACGACGACCTCCCCGGCGTGCACACACGTGCACACGCGCACAGGACGACGACCTCCCCGGCGTGCACACACGTGCACACGCGCACAGGACGACGACCTCCCCGGCGTGCACACACGTGCACACGCGCACAGGACGACGACCTCCCCGGCGTGCACACGCGTGCACACGCGCACAGGACGACGACCTCCCCGGCGTGCACACGTGTGCACACGTGCACAGGACGATGACCTCCCCGGCGTGCACACGCGTGCACACGCGGACAGGATGACCTCCCTGGCGTGCACACGCGTGCACACGTGCACAGGACAATGACCTCCCCGGTGTGCACACACGTGCACACGTGCACACACACACGCGCTTCACTCCCTCTTTCCTCCGTCATCGATACGACTGCTGTGTAGATCGGTGTAAATACACAGCGTGCTTCACGGCCGAGCCGTGCGGGCGGAGCCGTCACATTTCTTTGCTGACGCAACTCCGTTTCGCGGAGGTTAGTGCTGATCTCGTGCTCCGCCGTCTTCCCGTTGCCTCGCGGCCGCCAGGCTCAGGCGTCCTCCATCGGGGAAAGTCTGTCGTCCTCTGTCCTCTAGATTCCCAAGTTTTATCGTGGGCGTGTCCTCTCTGGTTCTCTGTCCGTCCACATGGCAGTTTTACCCCTTACCGTCTTCTGAGTGGTACTTCGGGCCGAAGTCAAGGTCAGATCAGGGTCCCCTTGACCGTGCTAAGCAGAGGCCCCACCCAGGGTCACTACCTGGCTGTGCCAGAGACGCACCTGCAGAGGGGTCAGGCCAGGTGAGCTCATGCTCCAGGGCCACGCAGGCGTCTGGCAGTGGCCTCTACACCGCTGAGCGCCCCCGGCAGGCCCTGCCACTCCCGACGCACTCAGAGCCTGCTCCCCTCATCCCTGGAGCACACGCCTGGGTGCCTGAACCACCGGACGACTTACCGAAGGCGAGGGGAGGGCCGAGGCCCCGCGTCCTCACACCTACCTTCACGGCGTGGAAGCAGAGCACGTGCAGCACGGTGGCGGAGGCGACGCTGCGGCCCACACTGTACACGGCTGACGTCACCCCGGAGACGGCTGGAACACAGACATCAGAGCTGCTTTCCGGGCTGGCAAAACCCCCCCAACCAAGGCCCATGGTGGGAAGTGGGGACGAGGCCGCAGCTCTCCGACACGGCGCGCCGGCCGACGGGCTAAGAACGACCCCGTGGGGTTCGTGAAACGTGCCGGGCGACGGTCGGTACGGGAGGGCGACGGACAGTATGGGAGGGCGACGGACCCCCTAACTCGAAATGCAGGAGGAACGCGGTTAGAAAGACCTGGAACATTCTTAGAGGGCCGGGCGAGCCTGTCAGTGCGGAGGGCGGGAGACGTCCTGGCTTATAGTGCAAAGCTGCCGGCCAGGGCCAAGGTCAGGGACGGGGCTCTCAATAGAGAGAGAGAGAGAGAATGAGAGAGAGAGAGAGAGAGAGAGAGATGATAGAGAAGGAGGTAGCGCCCCTCTGTGTGCGCGCGTGAGTGTGTGCGTCCGTGTGCACGTGTGTGTGCATGTGAGTGTATGTGCATGTGCATGAGCATGTGTGCGCATGTGCGTGTGTAGCAGGCGGTAACAGTATCAGGTGACCACCACATCCTAGTACTTTATGACATGAGTTCATTCGACCCTGACAGCGGCCCTGTGAGGCCGGCACGTTTATTTCCATTTGGAGAAGAGGTGGCTTTAAAGTTAAGCCACCTGCATAGTCTCCAGCAAGTGTCAGCTGAGCTGTCAGCCACCGTGGTCTGAATCTCAGGTGCGAGGTCGAGAGTCACGGCGGTGGAAGGGACACGGGCCGCCTGTCCGTACGGGTGCACACATGACACGGACGCGGAATGTCACATTCGCACACTCCCAGACTACTCGCACGCTTCGTGTTCAAGGGCACACGCGCACACGCACCTACACCCACACACTCGTTCGCACGCATTCGGACACACCGGTTCTCCAGAGAATGCTGAGAAGGGCCCCAAAGCCGTCCCCAAGCTCGGAGTCTACTCCCCCGTTCCTCTGCTTGTCCTTACCGAGCGAGGGGACCCTTCCTGGGTGGCCGAATGACCCCCACGGGCCCACCATCCACCCGACTGGCCCGAATCAAAGCAGTTTAACTGCTCAGGACAGAGAAACATGACTGTCCAGACGCGTCGCAGCCTGAGGCCACGTGGCCGTCGCCTGGACTTCAGCCCGTACGGGAGGAGGGGAACGCGAGAGACTCACCGGAACCCCCAAAAAGCAGCATGTCGATCTGTTCCAGAAGATAAACGCAGAACGTGTCGACCTGCGGGAAGAGGCCGAGCAGGGAGATGGCCGGGAAGCAGTACAGGCACGCTGCGGGGGGCACGCGGGGCTGGCGTCAGCGTGCGGGGCTGTGCCAGGGCCCCG